TCTCTCTCCCTCCCTCCCCCCCTCTCTCTCCTCTGATCCCTCCCTCCAACCCTTTGCTTCTGCCCTCTTTCATATTCCTTCTGGCTGTACTGATGTGTAATTAATAAGGAAAATCCTATTATTTTATGGCATACCATAGAATGATTTGATATTCATGTATTTTTAAAATGATTATTATAAGTAAGTCAGTCAATATTATTAGTCTTTTATGTATTTTGTTTTATGGTAAGAACACTTAATAAAATTTCAAATACGCAATTCAGTATTTCTGTCAAGTTACATAGTCACCCTTTCTGCATATTGGGTCTCTACACTTACTCCTCTAATAGCTGAAAGTCTCTATGCTTTGACCAACTTCTCCCCGTTTCCCCGAACCCTGTATATGGTGATCTCTTTTTTTGTTGCTGCAAATATTTACTCCTGATGTGTCTTCTGTCTTTGATCTTTGTACATGTTGTATGTGGTCAGTAAACTATTGAGCAGGTAAAGCTGTTTTATTCCCTCTAACTTCTACATTTCCTAATTTCTTAACACATCATGATAATTATTTTCATAGTTAAAAATAGTCTTACAATTTTTATTTTTATGTAGTTCTTCAAACTATTAAATATAAGATTTAAATATACTACATGAAATGAAAGCTTTTCTTTTAAATGTATTTTATTAGCTCTTTTAGAATTTTATACAATTATTTTGAACACATTTACCCCCATTCATCCCCTAACGCCCAGATCTGCTCTTCACCTCCACACCCTCCCATTTCCATGCCTTTTTTAAAGTCGTACCCACTAAGTACGCTTTTTGCTGCCCATTTAGCCTTGCATGTGGGGCCATCCACTGGAGTGTGGCTGGCAGCCAGAACTTGTAAATTCACTTTATAACACATTAAGTTGCCATGTACACTTGGATCTACATGTGAATCCCCCTAATGTTTATTTCTGTGCTCATACCAATGAATTTGCATACAATACTTTGAATTCTAGAACTGAAGCACATGTAGCTACCATCAGTTTTGTTTTATAAAATTTCTTAAATGTTATTGTATTTTTATTCTTTCTGGTTCAGCTGGGCCAGGCTGGCTGGGGGGAACAACTTACTACTTCCATGATCCAGAGCAGTACTTAGCTTGCCTTTACTCTGGCTTTCTTCTACATTAATAAACAATACTTTGTGAGCTTGAATATATATGATGTCAAAATACCATCTGGCATAGAGTAATTACTCAAAAACATTGGTGGTTATTAGTTTTTACATATGAAATGCAAGTCTGATATTCTGATCTAGCCTGCATTGAATTTCTACATCAATATGAGAAAGGTTTATAATTTCAGGTATTACATATTCCTGAGGGAAATATAACTTTCCAGTTCTTTTTGGTCCTGCTTTGAGACCTTTAATAACACAGTATTATTTTCTTCATATAGGTCCTATCTCTATCTAATTTAATTCGTGAATGTTCACAGATTTTTTTGTCTCTATTATAAATAGAATGATTTTTTTTTCAATTTCCATTTTGATCAGTTTATTTGTAATCTAACAGGCACATGTTACTTTACATATTGATTTCTATTTCCCTTGCAAGTCATGTTTTTGGTTTTCTGTGTACAAAAATATGTTCTGCATATAATGTAATGTCTGCTTCCCACTTACTTTGTAATGCTTCAGTTGCTTTTTTTTTTTTTTGGTTTTTCGAGACAGGGTTTCTCTGTGTAGCTTTGAGCCTTTCCTGGAACTCACTTGGTAGCCCAGGCTGGCCTCGAACTCACAGAGATCCGCCTGGCTCTGCCTCCCGAGTGCTGGGATTAAAGGCGTGTGCCACCACCGCCCGGTCCCAGTTGCTTATTTTTTAATCTTGTTGCTTTTCTAAAAGGGTGTTTAGAATAGAACAGAAATTGTGGGCATTTCTGAAATACATATGATTTAAATTTTAATTTGTGAGATTGTAATATAATCATAAAATTTTCCCTGCCCATCCTCCTTCTTCCTATGATCACTAACACAATGCTCATTAATTTAAGCTCCTTCTTCTACTCTTCATTTACTTGGGCTTTTAAAATTGACTGATAATTTTACAAGAGATTTGCACCTAATTTTTGGTTGATAATTTTTCCAATATTGAATCATCACCATAGTTGAGGAATAACCTCTACTTGGCCTTGTGAATGCATCTGCTTTAATACACAGTTGTGATTATGTTATAACCATGAGCTGTACCCCAGCATATGTGTGTGCAGCTGTTAGTCTTAAACAAGCATTCCCAGCCGGCACACCATGTCAAGCCAGCCATTTTAAACGTGTCTGTGACTTTTGCCTCTCACAGATTCTACCTATTTTCCACACTAGACTAGGACTTACACATTAAGTACTCAATTGTCATTCTTCCCTCTACAGTACTGCTGCCCTTTTCTCCTGATTTCTATGTCCGCCTACAAAGAAAGTTCTTAAAGACTTGCTACTTTTTCTTTTCTTTTCTTTTTTTTTTTTTTGGACACAGGGTTTCTCTGTGTAGCTTTAGAGCCTTTCCTGGATCTCACTCTTTAGACCAGGCTGGCCTCGAACTCACAGAGATGTGCTTGCCTCAACACACCCCCCCACCCCAGTGCTAGGATTAAAGGTGTGCACCACCACTGCCCAGCTTCAATTGTTACTTTTTAATATCTTTATTTTCCACTACTATACACTATCTCAAATACCAAACTCGTCATTTTAGATTGTGGAATTTTGAAATGAACATCTGGAGTGTTTAAGGATAAAACTCAGCATGACTTACAATGGAAGCTTCAGGGACAGATGTCTTCAAGGACACATCAGCTGGGCTTGGAAAAACATGGAGCTACAACCAATTCAGCCAATCAGTGGACAGTTTGCTCTTTCTCTTTTCTCTGTGCTATCTAATCTGCCTTGGTGTCCTTCTTCCTCGGGGAACCTAAGTATGCCCTTAGCAGTCTTTCTAATACAGTGCTTCAGTTAGCTTTATAGTGGATAAAAATGGAATTTAAAATGGAACCGTATCCTTCAAGGAACTATACGAAAAGAAGATTGAAACATGGAGGCACTCAGCCATTAGAAGAACAAGACCCGTTATTACAAAGGGGAAGATAATCTGAGGAAGCTGCATAGAGATGACAGATTCAGGGGCTAAAATCATGGTAGGATTTTGACAAGTGAATAGTTGGAGAAAGCAGGCATCAACAAAATCAACCTGAGCCCAGGACTGAGTAACTTTCTATCGCTGCTTTGATAGAAAGAGAAAAAAGTACCGGAGTGTGGTGATACTGGGGAGGATCTCAGCCCACAAACAAAAAGAAGCCTCCACAGTCTTTTGGAGAGAGAAGTCATACAC